CTCTATAGAATTAGGCTGGTCAAGTTTATCACTCTCTCCCGTAGGTTTTCTACATTCCTCAGGCTTTTGGCCCTTCTTTGGAATAGTTTTATCAATCACTTTACTATTACAAAGGGTGGTAACAGACTTGATCTGCTCTTGTGCAGTATCAAATGAAGTAGACTCAACCACATTAAATTGACCATACATATTTGGCAGCAATTGTGCCAGGAATTTACCTTTCTCTTGATGGCACACGACAGTGGCCAATTTAGTGAGGGTGCTTCTAATATCATTAAGATCTTGAGTTATCTGATTATTGAAGTTAGTATGACTATTGTTGAAGTTGGTTTAACGTTGTACAAATTATGGCATTGCCTCCTCAAGGCTCTTCTTTGAAGGTGGAGTGTAAGGCACACAATTAGAGCCGCCTTGTGGAGGTGGTTGTGATGTAGGATTATTCCCCCTCCAGTTGAAATTGGTATGATTTCTTCACCCTGGATTGTAAGTGTTTAAATAGGGATTATTGTACAACTTAGAAAATTATTCGCAACATTTGCATGATAATTTAAGATTTTTTTGAAAACAAGAATTGTGGGGCACTCCTTTGTGGGATGTTCCAGGATCTCGCAAATACTACAAATCTTTTCTTGAGGAACAGCGTGTACCTCATTAATCTTCCTGAATTCCTTGGCCTCAACTTTCCTGAACAGTGTGGCAACTCTAGCAACTAGGTCATCCTCCTCTCCCAATTGGTATTTACCTCTTCCTGATGAAGCATTTGAATTTTTATTTTTAGAAGAAACAAGGGATGAAGTATTCCAAGATTGTGCACTTTCAGTCAAATGATCAAAATAATCAAAGCCTTCATTAGGTTCTTTGGTCATAAATGCTCCATTGCACAATATCTCAACAAATTGGAGCATCTAGGGTGATAAACTTTCATATAAAAAAAATTTATAATGCGCCAGCATTCATAGCCATGTGCACAAGATGTAAGAAGATCTTTAAAAACGTTCCCAACATTAATAAAGAAATTAATTCTCTTTTTGAGAAAAAAATTTTTGATTTGTTTTTTAAAAGAATTTGTACTATGTGTGGGAAATTTTTTTCAGAAATTCCTTCTACATCTCTTGCCATGTACCAATTGATCTAGGTCTAAGACAACGCAACCAAGTTTTAGCTTTATCCTTCAGTGAGAAGGGGGAAAAGTTCAACTTAACTATATTCTCAGTCACAATTTGGTCATGAAATATGGCACAAACTTCTTCAAAGTCTCAAATATGGAGGTCAGGCTTATCAGAGTCCATGAGGTGAAATTTAGGAAGTAATGCTATCATGATAGGTTTAAAAACAAAATTAGTGGCCTACAAAGGTAAAATAATGTATGATGGAGCAGTCTGTCATTCAGGTTGCAAATATTCACGCAAAGTTTTACCATGATTAACATTCCAATTGTCAAAATTGTTGTCATCAAGATTACTCCTCCTATCATCAGAATTATTGATATTATTTCTCCTATTAACAGGAAGATTATTAGCCATCGTGTTATGTGTGTGAGATTGTTCATGAGAATTAAATAAATTACCAAAAACTTCTTCGAAATCTTCTCTAATTAAACGTCCACTTGAATTACAATGCCAAGAACTCATACAAAAATTAAAAAAAAAGGGGGTAGAAGCAGAGAACAATAAATTAAATAATAGAAAATTAAATACTGAAAAATAAAAGTGAAACAAAGTTAATAGATTTTTGACGAATTGCAAACCAAGTAAATCTCAATCGATGTAACAGTGCTCTTTGTCTTCCAACAAGATCTCTAGCAACAGCACCAAAAATATGCTACCACTTAAAATATGCAAACTCAAGTGTCATGAAGTAATATATAACCAGAAGTCTGCGATCGTACCATAAAAATTTGAGAAAAACTTGGAACACATAGAAAAAGAAAATAAAAATACTTTGAAGTTGTTTGAAATTGGTTTTGTTCAAAAGCACAGAAATTGATTGAGTAAAAATAATAATTTGAAGTATTAAATCATTAAGGATAACCTTAAAAATCCACATGACAATTATTAATGACCCAATTTTCAAATTCAATTGGGAAATCAACTGAGATGATCCGAATCAGAATATTTTGTGGTGATAAAATGAAAAAAAATCAAAAGTTATAACCAATAAATTATCCGAATAAATCTAAGAATTCAAATGTAGATTATAAGAATTTATCGTGCCCAGAGTCTATGGTAAATTAAGTTCTCTAACAGATAAACCCTAAATTTATTGTAAATAATAAATCAATTATCTTATAAAAATTTTAATTAATTAACTCAAACGTGGAATAACCAGTTATTTAACTCATAGATAATCTCAAGCATTTGATATACGTGAAACAACGAATCAAGAAACAATAAAAAACAAAATTTTTACTAGAAGTTAAGAATTGAATTAAAAGAATAAATCAAGCATTAAAATCATTGGATCAAAAATAAATATCGTGTTTTATATAGTCGGCCATAAAAACAATAAAAAAAACTAGAAGAAAAAAAGCTGGTAAAAGATTGAATATAATGTAAAATTACAACCCTTTAAAACCTAATTCTCGTTAACAACTTTTGGTACTGGGCAGATTCCAACCCACATCTAGACACTTGTATTTTCCGTCCGGACGCACATGGGTGTCTTGGCCTCTAAGCAACAAGCGTCCGAATGAGCATATTCTTCCGTCTGGATGTGAGCCTTCAAATTTTTCTTGACAATCTCTGGAACTTTCTATCCAAATGCTTCTCTTTCACGTCCGTACACATTAGGCAAAAGGCTTCTTTTTAATCCATATTGATCTGGATCTCCTCCATTTATGTATTTTTGTCCTTCACATCATTAATTCCACTAGTTTATCTGCAAAATTAGACTAACACTACAAAGAGAAGATAATATCCAAATCTCAATTAATTCAACACAATTAATGCCTTACCCAACGTAATTAGCAAATAATAAATATCAAAATAACACAATATCTAAGGCTAATCAACCACTAAATATTTTAATTGGGATTATTCTTCAGCTAATTCTCAATTAAGTTTAAAAATTGGATTATTAATAATTGTTGTGTGGAAATGGAAGAGTATCTCCGATGCTTTAGTATTTTAAATTTCTGTTTTTAATCAAAGTATTTTTATTTTATTTTTTCTTGTGTTCTACGTCTTTCCCAATTCTTTGTGGCATGATCTCAGACTTTCGAGTTTTTATTATTTTGCGACAACCTATGCTTAGATTTAACATTCTTTAAGTTGTAGCATAAGATAGTCTTAGAAAATTGTCTTTCACACAAATAAATCTTCCTCTAGTGCAAAGTATCATCTTTCTTCCAATTAGTATTGTGTTGACCAATGCTTCATTTAGATTATGTTCAGGCCCAGGGTTTTCGGGAATCATTTTAATTTTTTTGAGCTTAATCCTCTGACTATGAGTGATTATATTTTATGTAGCCACAAATATTTCTCTGATACCAAATTTTTTGAGTATATATTAACTCATTACTTCACCAACAATGCAAAAGAAACACAAAACAAAGCAAAAAATTTGTTATACAACATCACATATAGACCTTCAAAATACTTTCTGTATCACCAAAAAAGACTCAGTACAATATCAAGCAATACAAAGAGTCACTTATCTTGATAATTTCTAGTAATACAACGGCTCAAAAACAGCCTTCAAAACCTCATAATTGGTGCTACTGCACCCCTTTTTTTCAGCAACTATCTTTTTAGGAGCAGAAAATTCAATTGTTTACTAGTAAAAAAACATGAAAGAAATGCACTCTCAATATCTAGCTAATCACTCTTCCAACTTAAATGGGAAGAACTTCTTTGTATCCCAGCTGTCATAAAAGACCATAGGTCCACTAGAATTTATATAAAGAATTCATTTTTTTTAGTTAAAAAAAATGACTTAGCAATACATTGATAAATTTTTTTAATTTACCTATATAATAAAGTACAAAGAGTTTCAAACTTCAAACTTATTAAATCGTTCAAACGCCTCAAATAATTTCAAAAATATTGATTCAACACACCATATTAACCCTTAAAAAATTTAATCACGCCCAAATCTTTTAATTGTAGAATTTCGTAAATGACTCCACAGTCTATTTTTTAATCATTCACGTTTCTATATCTCCCTAAAGTTTTTAAATTTTAGAATCCCTTAAATCTCTCCACTCTCAAACATTAGCCCCTCAATGTTGTTTCTCTCTTGCCATTCTCCTATCTCCTCACCCTGTTAGCGTCACCGCCAATGCTATAGCGCACCACCACCGTCCTCCAGCCGCCCCCAACTTTAAGGTAAGTCTTCTTCTCTCCTTGACTCTCCCTCTCTTCTCTGTTCTTCCATATCTCCTCTCCCGATCTCTCCCCCTTCTCCTCTTCCCCTCTCCTCTGTCGCTACCCCAATCCAACCCCAACACATCATCCCCATCTTCTCTGTAGATAGGCATACACACACACCCATACACTGAACCCCCTCAACACACACCCCACACCCCACACAGCAAACACAGACACACACCCAAATCAATCGCACTTGCATAATCGCATCGCACGCATGCAACCTGTTCGATTAATTTCCATACCCAGCATACACACCACATATAGAACACACACAACATGCACACACCCACCCCATTGTGAGCACGCACACACGTACAGGTCGGTGTTCTTCTCATTAGATGTAAGGGTGTGCATTAAGGGTGTTTATTGATTTTCTTTGTCATTTGGTTAAATATTTGCTTTATTGTTTCCCTTGGTTTTAGGTTCTATTTTTTTCGGGTATTTGTTGGTTTTTGCATTTTTGGGTGTTCTGATATGTGGTGTTTGGGTTAAAATGGTGTCAGCTAAATGTATGGAAGGGATAACAGTGTGGCATGACATCTGTTCCAAAGGACTAGGTAAAATATGATTTTTGTTTTGTTTTTGCTATATCAACCTGCATGGGTTAAAAAATAGAATGATACTTTTTGGATGTTCAAGAATCCCAGCACCACACTAACAGTGCAACAGCCAATCTCCGACGCCACCAATGTTCAAGGTATCTCTCTCTCAACAACCTAGCCATTGTCTCTCCGTCTCTTTCTATCCTCCCCATATGCACACACACACCCACACCAACCCCCCTTATAATTGTCTTTTTTTTTGTTTTTCATTTTTCGTGTTCAACGGTTGTAGATGTAAAAGAATCGGTTAGTAAATGTCATTGCAGCTGGCAGCGTTGAAGTCCGGGCTGGGTTGATTCCATGTTTAAATTTGCTCTCTCTCTCTTTCTCTCTCCCTCTCATCTCATGTGTGTTTATTGCTCAAGTACGGTTGCCTCACTACAAACTTGTGATCTCTTTACTTAATTTTTTTCATGTAGAAGTGTACCAAACAAATTTTACTGTAATTTTTTTGAAGTGTTCTCTTATTTCTCCTTTTTGTGAAGTTGACAGAAAACAAACCACAATATTGCCGAGATGGAGCATAGCTATAACTTATAAAGTTGGATCCCATAGGAATATAGAATTCAATAGGATTTTGTATGTTTTCTTTTGTCCCGAAGCTAGTCTAAAGTTGTGGTTGCCAAGGTGTTAAGTCCAACTGATCATAGTGAGAAAATGGTTTGTAGCGCTGGACCAATCATTCTCAACATCGACATCTCAAGCTTCTATACATTTCGTGAGCAGGAGGTGACCCATTTGGTGCACCTACAAAGCTGTGGCCATGGGAAGATGGTACCAATTCATTGACAAAGGCGAATTGGAGGAGTAAGTTAAACCTAAAATGGCCATTTTCACTAATTCATCTAATGTACTAACAAGTAAAATTAAGCTTATTTCCAAAAAATTCATGATGCAGTGAGACCAAAATTTGAATTCTTAGCCAAGCTTGGATTAGACAGGTGGTGCCTCTATGATGGCAACTTTGATGTACAATACTCTTTTAGACATTGCATATTGTCCAACAGAGAATGTTGGAAGCTTATAAGAAACAAGCAACAGGGAAACAGTGCAAGTGGTCCTTAAATCTGTGATTGATTTCTGCACCCCTCTTAAGGTATTGAACTACAATAACCTGCTTGAGAAAAGTAAGGCATGAGATTCTTTCAGGAAATTAGTATGGGGGACATGCCTATCCTGTATGATTCTTTTTTTCTTGGCAAGGATATTTGCATTGCTAAATTTGTAATCGTCAACTTGACTGATTTTTTTGTATTTTAGTTTTCTTCTTTTAAATGGATAGATTTCAATGTGCACATATTTAGGTTTTGAGTAGGAAGTCGATGTTGATTTTAAATGGTATATTTCTAGGACTAATGTTAAATCATGAAAAGAAAATAAATAGATAGGTGTTTACTTTGAGCTTATGCTCAAGATAATTGGTATTGTCCACTTTGAGCCTCCTTGTGTGCTATTTGATAAAAATATCGTCAATATTTTTAGTGGGCCCGAATTAATTATAAATTGTGTAATTAAACAAAAAGAAGTAAAAATATTTCAAATTATTTTTTTTTACATTGTGCCTTTGGTAATTGGTTTGAATCGTATTTCTTTAAATAAAAATATGTACTAATTACTAATTTGATTTTATGAATTGTATATGCATATTTATATGGTTTAAGAGTCCAGTTTTCAGATAACATTCCATTGAAATTTTTTGAAAAAGTAATGTTTTTTTATTGATTGGTAATTGTTTTGTGTTGTGAACAGTGCCTTTAAGCACGGATAATTGGTTGTGATTTTTTGTTTATTACGTAGTGTTATTCAGGCATGAGTAATTACTAGTGTGTGTGTATATATATATATATTCTTGGATACCTTATAGCCTATTTTTTTGGGGTTTTTTTTTCTTGGAGGTCTGTTGTGGGGCCTCTTGTGGGAATCAAGTAAAATGTGCAAAATACTATCATGACTTATGTCTCTGGATAGAAACTTCGGTGTAACGCCAGTCATAAGTCCATGGCCATAACTAGTAGATTTATTTCGTGTTGCCGTATCCTAGAGGCTTCTTTTTTGGAACCAAGCAGATAACTCAGAGAATGTTTATTAGGTGATGAAAGATAAGTCCAGTCATGTGGAACATTCTTATGTAAATACAAGTGGGAATGTTTGAAAATTTCGCTTAGAGACGATACGTTAAAACGATTCAAAATTGACAAAAATTTAGTAGGCTAAGTTTAACTAATTTTTGATACAAATTCAGAATAATACGGCTAGATAAAATGAATAATAAGTGTGACAGTTTATTATCAAATTAGAGATAATCTGTGCCTGAAGGTATGGTGCAACGTAAGTGAAAAGTGATGGATTTGAAAAAAAAATTCAATGTCAATGGTTTAAAGAGAGATGTTGTGGCCCGTTGGATGAGTTTATTTAAAACCGTTTGATGAGCTTATTGAAGTCTGTCATGTTTTATATTATAAATACAAATAACCTGAATTTGATGCGATAAACATATTTAATTAGTATTATATGAATAAAATGACTGATTTTTTACTATTTTTATCACATATTTACATTAGTTATCCAAAATGAGAATTTTATTTCTATTTTTGCTATTATATAGACTTAAATAGATTTTAAGCCTATGAAAAAATATGAGTTGTGGTTTAGTTGAGAAATGGAAAGAAGGAGCAATTCTTGAGGCAACTGATCCGAGATTGGGAGGTGATTTTGTGGTAGAGGAAATGGAGTTGGTTTTGAAACTAGGTCTGATTTGCTCACACTATAATCCGATGACTAGGCCTAGCATGAGGCAAGTAATGCAGTATTTGGATAGGGAAGTTATCATGCCCGAAGTATTTATGGATATTGTAGGAGTTGGCATGGCTGCATTATTTGGCAATGAAGTTTCAAATTAATTTATAATGACATTCCCTTCATCATCCTTGGGGAGTGTTTTTGCTACTGCCATGTCTGGTATTGAGTCACCGCTTGGCGTGGGACGTTAAGAGTGAAATATGTTTGATGGCTAAAATATTTTGGATCGGTGCATGGATTGTATTTTGATAAATAATTCCATATATTTTGGTATCAACTCCTGATGTTTTGTGATTGTTTTTGTTGAAACATTCTAGCTAGTTTAAAATTATGTTAATTTGGAATTTTTTTCATATTATACTTCTAATGCTATGACATTAATCCTTGAAGGGATTTTCAATTTTTCCGATTAATTGTATTTGATCTTGTTTTCTCCATCAACAATAGATTTCAATTGATTTATAAAAAATATATAAATTGTTGATACTTAAGGTATGTTCGTAATTTTGCAAAAGCTTTATTTAGCGAGTTTTAACATGTTTTTCTTATTCTATCAGATGTTTATGGCTTTTAAATCAACTAAAAAAGACAAATGGACATAGATCGAGATGCTCATTCACTCTTCACTCCAGAATTCGAGGAAGAAGTGGATCGAAAAGAAGACAGGGAGGTCTTAGAAAGCTATGTCTTTCACACCAATAAACCCTTCTCCAGTTCAAAGTATCATCTTTCCTCCAACTAATATTGTGTTGGCCAATGCTTCATTTAGAATATGTTCAGCCCAGGCCCAGGATTTCTTGAGCCATAGATTTTTGAATCTAGCAACTCTACATCCAAGAACACACCACAAGAAAAAAAAACCCCCAAATTTCATAACCTAGCTTCAGCACAACTTTCAAATTTCAAAACTCATAGCTCTGATAATGATCGCACAAAACATGAAGAATAACAAATTGCAGTGAAAAGTATAGCAACATAATGGATGAAAATTTGAGTTCAAAAGTCACAAACGAGTTCTTAGACTCATCAAAATTCAGTATAACACAAAACAAAAACAAAAGAAATAACTGATCTCAAAATTTTCAGCAAAAACACACTGCTTCGGCAACTGGTACTGCACCGGGTCCGCCTCTATTTTCTTTTCAATAATTGCACTTAGGGGTTGTTTGGTTTGTTGGAAAATTGGGTGGAGTAAAAATGATGTTTTTTTGTTTGGTGAAGAAGAAAAATTGAAATGAAAGGTGAGGAAAAAGGAGTTGAAGATGCATCCCTTCTGCCAGCATTTTTAATCACTCCGAAAATTGGCAAAACTGGAAGGATATTGGAAGCAAGGTGCAAAAGTTGCCTAAAATTACCATTTTAGCCTCCAAGGTTCAGATTTTAAAACCACCAATTTGAAAAAAAAAAAAAAAAATTGTGGTGTCCACTTGTTTTGTCATTTGGACTAAATTAGTGAGATCTAAATGAAAATGATTAGAATCTTGAAAGGATACCATAAATATGTTAAGATAATTATTTGGTAGTATTTTTTGAGTAATTTTTTTATGCGCAGTGTATACCAGCTTGTCCTGCTTATTTGGTTCTCAATACCAATGAGAAATTTTTGTATGGAAATAATGAAATATTTCTTTCTGTTTTCTCTCTCTACAAAGTTTGTCATATTATATTTATATATTAAAGATAGCTCGTACCTTAAGGCATAGTGCAGTGTGAATGATTTTGAGAGGGATATTGGTGGCTGTTGGATAAGTCTATTTGAAACTCTGCCATGTTTTATATTATAAATTTGAGTAATACTATTTGCACCTAAAAATCTGACATAATTTACTAATATAATAATGTGGATTCTTAGAAATCATTGAATCAACATCAAATTCAAATGTCACAAGAATTAGGTCAACAAATTATGTCTCAATAATATTGCTCTATAAATTTTGTCATATCATGTCAGCATTTTGTTTCTATTTCTCTCCTCTCAAAATAATGAGGTTCAAATTTTAAATCCTACCTATAATTTTAAATTTTAAATATCTATATAATAAAGTAGTTAGCTTGGTTTGTGTTGAACTTTTCGCGGCTCAGATCATTTCAAGACTTTTGATTCGACGGTCCTCATACCAAATTTTTCTAACACTTCTATCTCTCATCTAACTCTCTCCTCTTATCTAATAGTAACTAATACAGACTCTTATTTCTCATTTAACTCTATCTTTCTATGTCATACAATAACTCTTTTTCCCTCTCTCCCTCCCCTCTCTTTCTTTCTCCGATACACTCTTTCTCCTTTCTTCCATTTTTAAATGATCAGCAACCCACCAAATTAAACAACCCAACAACCCTATTTTACTTATCCACCAACCCAGCAACCCTAATACAATAACTCTCTCTTCCATTTTCCCAACAACTGTTAGCAACCCATCTCTTCCATCCTCTCTTCCATTTTTAAAATGCTATCAACCCATCTCTTCCATTTTCCGAGCAACTCTCCTCACCCGGCACCTCTCTCTCTCTCCCTTATCTCTCAAGTTATCCTCACCCCGACACCTCTCTCTTCCTTATCTCTCATCTAAATCTGCCTCCTTATCTCACCTAGCAACTCTCTCTCTCTTTCCCTCTTTTTTATCTTTCATCTAACTCTCTCTCCCTCTCTTTCATTTTTTAAAACAAGCTACATTCCCTTATCTCTAACTTTTTCCCCCGCTGCAATACATACCACACCGAAGTAACACCCTCTCAGTTCCTCTCTATCTCTACATTGCACCTTCAATACACACTGAACCATCCACTGCAAGGAGTCCATTTATCTCCCTCCGGATCTTCTCTTTCTTTCTCTCTCTAACTGTGCCTGTGTTTGTGCGTATGTGTTCATGTGTGTGTGTTGTGTTCATGTGTGTGCTTGCATGTGTGTATGTTCATGTGTGTGCCTGTGTTTGTGTTCATGCATCTGTCAGTGTGTTCATGTGTGTGCTTGCATTCCTATTTTTTTAATTTTTCAGAATGTGTTAACCAGTGAATTAGGTGATAATACTTACACATGTGACTCATTTGGGACCAAGAACAAGAACATAATAACACCAAAAATTAAAAAAAAAATTGTAATATAGTGTTTCCCCTTAAGTATTAGACCCGGGGCCAGTCGGTGCAAGAAGGGTGGTAACGCCAAAATTAAAGGAAACAAAAAAAGTTTTCTATGATTTCATAGAATGAGAAAATCTTAAATATAAATAAAAATTAACAGGTTTTACACATTTTTTTGAAAATTAGTTGAATTTCTGATAGAAAAAGTTGACTCAAAATAAAACTCAATCTAATCACCAATATCTAATCCATAAATTCACCCTTCAAGCTATTATTTATACAAAAAAAAAAAAAAATCTACTACATGTAAACATATAGTTCTCCAAATAAAAAAGAATTCCCCCAAGCTCTAGAAAAAAAAAAGTGACCAATAAAAACAAAACAATTCCCCCAAAAATAAAAATACAAAACCCAAGCAAATCACCAACAAATAAAATGAAAAGTGACCAATAAATATAAAACAATTCTCTCAAAAAACAAAAACACAAAGCCCAAGCTAATCACCAAAAAAAAAGTCATACCAATTACACCAAAAAAAAAAAATCTATATAATAAAATCCAAGCTAATTACTAATTCTTTTATGCAAACAAAACCTATAAAATAAAAAAAATAACAAGTGATCAATAAAAACATGAGAAAATGGGATGTGAGTGCCTTGCACAGAACTTATTTGGCCTTAAGTACCACCTTCAAACTTATCCTCCTTTAAGTCATTTTTTTCATCAAATAGTTGTCAATAAGTACACATTTTAAAACATTTTTATATTCTTTTTGAAATGTATTCTATAATTACCCTTACCATAAATAGTACATACCAAATTGACAGCTTTTATATTTCCAATATATAAATATTACAATGTGAGACTTTCAAGATTCTTTTTGATATTTGTGTTTCATTTAAATTTTAAAATTTCATGTATACACACACACACACACACACACACATATATATGTGTGTGTGTGTGTGTGTGTGTATATATATATATAGTAATATTAAACAGTAACACGCTCAACAAAAAAATAGTAACATCAAACAGTAACATGCTCAACAACAAAATAGTAATATCAAACAATAACATGCTCAACTAAAAAATAGTAACATCAAACAGTAACACACTTAACAAAAAAATAGTAACATCAAAGAGAAATATACTAAATAAAAAACTTAATTTAAAATTTAATCATTGCAATAGAGTGACACCATATGTGAGTATTTATTCTGTTGTGGGGGTGTCACTCTATTACAATAATTAAATTTTTGTTGAGCACGTTACTATTTTGATGTTACTATTTGAGACCGTCGGATAAACTTATTGAAGTCTGTCATGTTTTATATTATAGATAATTTATATTAGGTTATTGTTTTAACAATTATACTAGCAGTGAGTTCGCGCCGTACATGAAAAATCACACATTTTTTGAGTAACATGACAAATTTTTTGTATAGCTTTTTGATTCATTAAGATATGTTGTTAGAGTAGTTTGAATCGTTATAGAATATTTTACTAAACAAACATGTTTAGCCACAACTTTTAACTTTTAGAAAGAATTTTTTTTTGGGTTAATAATATTTTTGGTTCTTAAAGTATATATTTTTTGTCACTTTAGTTCTTATTATATTAATTTTGTCAATTCGATGTTTAAAATATTCAATTCGTATCACTTTAGTGTAAGGCTTTCCCCACTACCCTCAAGGGGTCTACACACCGATGGTTCGCCAAGCTCAGACCCAGATCCATGAATTCTTTTGTTGAACTTAGCAAATCATTCGTCTCCTATTTCATAGGAGGACAACCGCACAGAAGCCTATCCCCCATTTACTCAGCATTAAGCAAGAACGGGAGGAAAGTCTAAGGAGTTACCTTACTTGTTTTAACGAGGAGGTCTTCCAGATTGAAAAGTCGAATGACAAAGTCACCATGACTACCTTCATCAATGGCTTGCGTTCATCCAATTTTTTATTTTCTATTTTGAAACGCCCATCGAAGAGCATGCCAAAACTATTGTACAAGCATAAAAATA